TTTTGCCTCTATTTGGTGACCATTTGCTACTTGTATGATAGGCCAATTATGAGGATGGCAAGTCCCAATGAAATACATCTTTATTTTGTATTAATAACATTGGTTTAGTTTTTTCCTGTATCAGGTTCTGGATCACTGTGTAGTCTCTTGAGAATGTACTTTATTTTGAGCTAACAGCTGTGAACCCAGGGGGAATGTTACACTTCTTTTATCTTTTTTTTTAAAATTTTATTTCATATTTCTTACTGAACTATTTTAACTTCATGATAAAGTTTTGATTTTTTTTTAAAGCAATCTTTTACCCTATGTTCCTTCTTCTACAGACAATGCAAAACAGTTAGTCTGGAGTCCCAACTCAGAGAATAGTGGCATTTTATAATGGATGTAAAGATAGAAGTTTTCTGTTTTACAGATGGTCAGGTCCTGCTTTTACTTTTGAGCCCAACACTTGCACTTATGAGCCTATTGATGTCAGCACTATGGGGACAAGGCTCACAGCAGTGTTCCTGTAATTTGGCGACCTTGCAAAGGATTTGATCTTGCCCCTCAAAGCTATGGAGTGCACACTCTCAGCAGAATAAGTGTTCAATATTTCATCAATGAAAATATATTTACCATTTTCCTCCCCCGTCCCCCAACATGAGGGAACGAGAGAGAACTTCAGCTAGGTATCAGAGGCAGAGGAGATCCAGTTAAGTGAGCCAGTCCAGGTAACTATTAACACTTTATTAATCCCTTTGGGCTTTACTCACTAGACTCCTCTGACTTCTAATCAGAGCTTTCAAATTGACCAGATCAATCATAAGTCTGGACTGAGTTTGAAATAGGCTATCTAGAAACCCTCCAAGAAAGCTTAATTGGCTGGCAACTTGATTTGGCAGGACAATACAAAATACTCTGGCAAAAGGAAACGAGCAGAGCACCCTACGCATTGCAGAACACACTGAACGCAACTGCCTGACTTCCCTTTGACTCCACTAAGTCACCTGCCCGAAGAAGTAACTTCTGCAGAGTATTTTTCTGCTTGGTGCTGTAGAATTCATCCCCAATATAAATCAGATTTATTCCAGCCACACAGCAACAGATTTGTCTCATTCGACGGTATTGTTCAGACAATCATTAGATCAGCATATATTTCAGTGTATCTATTATACCAGTGAGCTCACTGTACTAGAGAGCTGCAGGTTTGTGACCTGATCAGTATTGCCAAGTCTCCTAAAATCTCTATCTGTAGCCCACTGGCCTTTAGTTTGTCTGAAGGCTTTGTGTGCTGCCTCAGTTTACCTAGTTTAGTCTGTTGGGCCCTAGTATGGGAGACTCTGTGAGCCTATGTTGCAGCTGCTATTAATTCGGAGGAGAGATGGAGAAGGATGGGCAAGGAACCTGCAGGCCCCAAAGAAAATGTTTTGTGCCTGCCCTGTGATATTTTTCTAAACTGAGAGAGAACAGTGAATCATCACTGTAAGAACTTAGCAGAATCAGGTCTGAAGGGCTGAGCAAGAAGGCACTAAAGGGCAGAGGAAAACTGTAGCTGCTGGACTTCTTGCAGTTCCTTGCTGGCTGGGACAAACACAAGCCAAGGTCTGTGTCAGACACTGTATTTTTAGTCAGATATGTGGGTGTGGGTGGTTATTCTGGGTTGTTGGTTTTTTTTAAAAAACCCTATCTATACCCCTCAGCTGTAAGCCTGCAAACACTGAAACGCTAATAGTATATGGTGTCAGGAGTTGTTGTTTCCTCTATGAAACAGAGCAACTTCCACTGACCAACTATAGTGAATTATAACAAATGTAAAAGGGTGTTATTTCTCAAAAATTATTAGGCAGTGCAATTTTTTAACTATTTGGCGTGCAGCTCCTGGCTCAGAACCAAGAACATATTCAGGAAAAGGCACATCAGCATTCCTTCCTCTCAATCTCTAGTCACACTTTCTATTTTCCTTCAAATCCCTTATTAGTTTAGTCAGCTGCCAGTTTTCATACACGACCCATCTTTTTCTGCATGGGGCAATGTCTACTTTGAAGGAAAATGTTCACATAGATTTACTCATCTTCTTTTGAGCCCCACTGAAATGCCCTTAAAGGATTGTAGCAGTCTTTTTTGCTGTTCATTGGAAAAACATGGAATCATAAGGTTAGAAACCCACTGAAGCACCCAAGGATGATGTTAACATGAATGTGAGCCAGAGGTTTCTTCTGCACTTCTGATTATGGAAGCCTGCAATGTGCTGTGCAGTTGACTGACAGGGCTTGAAGTGTGCTATGTATAGGGCTTCACAGTGCTTTGCAAGACCTGACAATCAGCAGATCGCGGGTGCCTTGTGTGTTGTGCCTTTGCACATGTGGTTTGATTTCACAAACCATGCAGGCAAAAGTTGGTCCCCTGACATCATGGTGATGTCAGACAAATGACAGGTGTGCAGCGCCACCCACCTGTCAAATTAGGCCTAGTTGTCCTGTGCACATGTATGCATTGGACTATGGCATAGGGTGACAGCTTTAAGCTCAACTTGCTTGGGCAATGTCAAGAAGTATCCGGATGTTTCATAACAAACCCCCTTTTTCACCTGCCACTGACTGAAAACCACTCTGCTTGCTAAATCTGAAAATCCACAAGAATAAAAAGCGTTACCTGTCTTCCCTGGTGTATTGTACAAAATGGATATTACAGCCTGACAACTTCTAAGCTACTTTACATCTGCAGAAGAGCCAAGATGCCAGAGCAACCCAGCGCTGATCCATTTTATGCACAAATAAGAATCTTGATAGAACGCTGATCTGCAGAATTACAAAAGGTGTTTAAAACTCTGATCTTCCTTGTTCACTCTCAAAGGCTGTGTTCAGTAAGGGAATGAAGAATAAATCAAGGAGAATGCAATAATGGCTGAAAACAGACAAGCTTTATCCAGCAGAGAGCTCCTGCTTGCATAATTTAGACAGGCAACCCCCTAAAACAAGGCTTTCACTATAAATAAATTCAGATTTACTTGTTTGTTTCAGCCATTGGGCACAACAACAAAAAAGTACATATTTAGGATTCGAACAGCAAAATGTTAAAACCAGGACACGGCATGATGGATGATAAATAAAATCAAACTCAGTAGACTAAAAAGAATAGGGTCTTAAGGAAATAATAGATTGATGCCAAATGAAAATAATTAACTTGTCAAACCAGGTCAACCTGAATAACAATAGATAATGTGTATTCAGAAATGTATTTGCATGATCTGGCCACAGCAAGATCACTACTTCTGAATCATTCAGAATTTGCTAAGATCTTGTTAAGGAAGGTTGGGACAACCCCTAGTGGAGCATAGGGTGTCTATCTATGCACACCATACAATCAACTTATTTATTTCGTATACTTATACTTAACCCTTCCTCTAAGACACTCATTCAGTGAGATAGATTTCATAAATTATCACATATACAATTTAAAGTGGACTTTAAAATTCTTACCTTGTTTATTTTCTTTACATCTATGTGAGGATTTAAAAATTGAAGTTGACAGCCGTCAAGAAAGCAAGAGGTGCTTATATTTGAATTCAGATGTCCTTGTGCAAAATCCAGAATCCGTATGATTGGAAGCAGAAAAATAGTGAGTAAATTGCACTAGTCAAAACACCATAAAGCAAACACTTAAAGCCATGAAGCCTGTTTTTTAAAATGAAGTTTATAAATAAGGTAGTCTGGAAAATAACCAGGATGCTTTCATGATGTATATTTGAATTGTAAATATACTGACATAAATGGCACTAAAATCAGAGATGCTGCTTTAGCACTTCACTGACATTTCAGTGCCATCCTCATAGTTTAATGCATACACAGCCTCACAGGAAATGCAATGGATACTAAATGTGAGAACCAAGACATTAAGCAAATAAACTTTCCCAGATCATGCCTGTCAACCCAAGCAGCAAAATCCCGTCATCTGAAATTAGATTAATTTCATGCCACCAGACTTCCCAGTTTTGAAAACCTTACAACCAACTTCCTTGGCAAGCGTAGAGATGTGTTGGGCCCAAGACTGCAGATGGGGTCCAATTCCAAGAGAAACAGACAAGGGTTAAATGGGCAGAAGACGGGCTGTAAGCAAGGCAATCTGCTTTGCAACTCAGTGCAGCAAGTTGCTCAGGTGGAGGTGTTAGCTTGGAAGGAAAGGTTTTATACTGCATGGTGTGACTCCACTGGCTTGAGAAGTTAGCTGAAGAATGGAAGAGATTCAGCAAGCTATATATAGAGGAGTGGGATATTATGGGAGCCTGCAGGTCACTCAACTTTCTGGCTTTGCTGTAGCAGGTCCCAGAACCTCAGAAGCAGCTTCTGGCTGGATCAAAACACCCCTTAGTTCCTTCCGCTGACAAATTACTGGCATTACACCTCTTTGTAAGGTATCCCCATCATATTCAAAATTACTCTGGCCAAATCACCCAAGACCCAGCCAAGGTCCTTGTCTTCATAGAATCATAGCATTGGTTTAGTCCAACACCCTGCAATGCAGAAATATTTGGTCCAATGTGGGGCTTGAACCCATAACCCTGAGATTAAAAATCTCATGCTGTATCAGTGTCCTTCAGAGTCTTGCTTCATTACCTCTCCACTTTTGTAACCCCCCAAAATGCCTAGGACTTTGCACTCTGCCAGCTCCTCCACCCTCAGCCATCCAAAGGTCTCCTGCTGCCTCAAACTATTCTGCTTTTTCTCCCTTTCTTGCCCCTTATGCCTGAAGCCTGTTGTGATGCCAATGGTCTTACATGACAAAAGCAGGTGCATAATCCTATCTGACAGATCTAAACTAAAAAGGCCACACTTCACCTCACCTTTTCATGCAATTCTAGTGCCTTGCACTAAATTACGGAACATCTTGTGCATTGTGCTGTACTTAAAATCTAACGCATTTTTGAGGAAAGTTAGATTCAAACTTAAAAACCATAAAACCGTAAGGTTTTCAATTCCAGAATCTTTTAGCCTCTGTGATAATAAGATGAATCCAACACATAATCTGTGTAAATACATTTTATTTTCTTTACAAATGGGTAATTGAAACTACTGTCCATCTTCTGATTGAACAACACAGTGGAAATGAAACTATTCATTCATTCACATTGCTAGTTTTAACAAAATGCTTAAAAGTAATGCAGTCATCCTGGAGAAAAGCACACAGAAGTTATCACAGTCTAATGAAGGCCTATATCTACATCAAAGGGGAAAAACAGCTAGAAAGAAAAGACTCTATAAAGAGTTATAATGTAATCATCTACTCCTTGCTATGAATGTTCTGGTCACAAAATAGAAAAATATTTGCTTACAAAATGAGGTTTTGTTTTTTGTTTTTTTAAAAGAGGAAAACCGCCTCTTTCCTACATAGTAGTCTGCATGCAGAGAACTTGGGGTGTGTTGCAGAGAACAAGAAAGGAAATGGTATGAAGAATCCAATCAAATTCTTGGCATAGACAAGTCATTCTGCAGCGGCTGACTCTTGGATGCAGACCCTTCCCACGTTATCTTTTTCACACAACTCTGGCATTTAGGGGGAAATTGTAACATGAGAAACCAGTCTCCTGTGGGCAAGTAACATTCCTTCCAAAGGATAATGACAGCCTCTGTTGTGGTTTTTCTTTTGGGGGGGGGGGTGGTCAGTAGAACTGGAGGTGGTATGGATGTCCACGGCATACGCATTCACTTCTTTGCCATCAAACAGGTTTAAAAACAAAACAAAAAACCAACATACAGATTGTGTGAACAGAGATAGTAGAGGGATGGATGTCCAAATCACTGGCAATGATGACCACAATGTTATTTTTAGCTCTTTGAAAAGCTATCTGCTTTCCCTAGCCACAGCTTTCACTATAGCTTCAAAGTTTTCTACTATAGTCCAAGCCTGCCACCTGGTGGCCGCCAGCAAGTACCATCCTTTGTAAACAATGTAGAGTAGTAACTTCCACCTATGGTAACTAATGATTCCAGCAAAGTACCTAGGCAACTAATCTCTAATATTCTTCTTTTAAAAAACACAAAAAACAGATGTATTATTGAAGAGAAAATATAAATCTTTATACATGCTGGTATCCAGCCTACATAAGAAAAACACTATAAAGGTATCTTAAGTCTGTTGTCATACTGTGACATCACCCTACCCTCTGGAAGGCACTATCCGTTCCCACCCACTCTTTCCTCAGCAGAGCACAGACTTGCCAGCGAACATCATTTAAAGCTATGCAGAAAGCCCAAAACCCCTTGTTTTGTTTGACAGTTATTTTAAAAAGTCAAGTTCAGGATATGAGATACATTTTAATTTTTAAAAAAACGAAGTTTCACATGGGTTTTTTCAGTGCTGCTTTTCTCACGCTGACAAGGTACGCATCATAGATGATGTTTAGGAAGTTGTCGTCATTCTGAAGGGGGAAAGGTATATACTTTGTTAATAATATGAATTTTAAAACCACAGAGAAATTAAAACTCCACATTTTTTGAACCATTGTGTTCATTAATGCACTGAGAAATGCAAATTTAGATCCTATGAAGCCCACTGAGCGGTCTTGAGCATGCCACCCACTGTCATCCTAATTATTCTCCTGGGTTTTTGCTGAGGCTAAAATGTTGTTCTAAGCAACCTGGAGCAAAGGCGGGATAAAACTACTTCTACAGTCAGCGGTAGCTCTAAGCAGGATCCCCACTGCTGGCTGTCAGAATGAACAACATTTGGGCCCAGATCAGCAACTCCCAATTGACTGCAGTGCATAGGAAGATTTGTTGCATCTAACATGTTTCAGACCTTGTGAGAAACTAGAGCTGCTGTCAATGGTCTGGGCTCTAACTACTGCTAAGACAGCTGCAAACCGGGGGCTATTTTTTTTTCAGGGCACACAGGTGCCTAATTGTAGACTTACAATATGGTAAGTCTTACTTTCATAATAACCAAACTGGACCATCAGCCAACTTAGCAAAATGGAGAAGTAACCTGTGAAACAAAACAAAACAAAACAAAACAAAACAAAACAAAACACTCAGTTGAGGATTATCTACACAACAATGCTGTATGCTTACTGGTGACAATTCATTCCAACTCTCCGCTCACTCTCATCTTCTAGTGTGACAGATGCAAATAGTTTTTAAGAGAGGACAAGGACAGATGAGAAATGTAATGGATGCTTTACCTGGATCAGATGTAGTAACGTTTCCTGTAGTTGTAGCTTTGTCAGTGAGCTGCTGTTTGTAACAGCTGCTTCTGGGTTCTGCACAGACAGGTTGTTAGTGGAACTAGAAACAGCTTCTTGGTTCACGACGGGCAGCCATCCACCTTCACTTGGCTTTGGCGGTGCTGGGGCAGACTGACTGAACACCATCGGGGACATCAGTAGTGAAGGAGCTACAGTAGCAGGAATTCGCTGCGGTGAGATGACCTGCTCATCACACACAAGGACATCACATTAAATTACACGTCAACCACAGCTATACAAAGGAATCTGAGGTGGCATTAAAAAACTATCTGGCAAGCAGCTTACTGCCTTTCTGGAAGGTGAACTCAACCCTGCTGGAGCTGGCAGTCATCCTAGCAAGGCAGAAAAATATTCCTGGGTTGAGGGTGATAGGGTCACTTCCAATTTGATGTGCCACCAAGCATAGAGTTGAGGTGGCTCTTGCAGTCCAGAGAACCTGGATAGCCATTGTGAAGATAGTGAGATGGCGCCAAGGGAATGGACCCAGAGCCAAAGGAACCACCCGAATGGAGAAAGGCTGCTTCTTGGAGACCGAATCATTCAGACATAGGTTAGATGTAAGAGGGTGGGCAGCTAGAATTCAGAAAAGCCTAAACAGTTTCTCAACCAGAAGGGCCAAAATAGATTCAGTGTTGCAGACCCATGTGTCAGAACTGGGTTGTTGCTGCAGCCTGACAGAAAAATTATGCCAGTTGTAGCTTCTGTTGTCGCAGCAGTGGTATGACCTGCCAGCCCTAAATGGCCAAAAAGCTATGCTTGGGGCATGTATGTATGTGGCAAAATTTCCCATGCAGATCTGAAATTGGCCAACTAATTCTTTGGGTGGAGGGCAGCCCTTTAAGTCAGGAGGCTTGTCAGGTTCTGCCTGAAAAAAAGACCCCTTATTTATTTGTATACACATACTCTGTCTCCACCCCCCCCCGATGGTATTCAAGGCAGCTTACAGTTAAAAACAAGAACTGCACAAAACAGAAAATTCAATCATCAAAACACAATGAAACATTGATAGAATTAAAACTATAAACATATAAAAAATCTGTTTAAAGCATACCAATAATTACAATAAAAACAGCATGGCACCAGCCCTTTAATTAAAATTTGGACCCAGATTCACCCTCCCTACCCTGATGTTTCTCTTCTAATGATTCCATGAGGTTTTTATTTGTTTATACAAGACATTATCTGCTCATGTAAAGCCAAGTGAGGATTTAAGCAGGGCCTGCGCTACAAATCGGTGAAAGGCTGCTGCACTAATGCCTTCAGTTGCTTGAGTTCAAGATTCCAACGTTAAAGCTAAACTAAATAGATGCTGGCAGACAGGAAGAGACGGTACACTGACGATCCAGTTGCTGAATCTCATCTTTGCTAAGCAGGGTGATTAATTAGAAACCATTAATTCATTTTATCTAATGGTTGGGAGAGCTATATATCACCTGTAGTTATACATTTTGGCAGCCCCATACATTATGAACAAGCAGCCTGTTTTGAAGAGCAGATTGCATTTTGCTCCACATTACCATGGTCAGCAAGGTCTAAGGCTTCCGTCTCTAAGGCGGAGTCTAATCCCACACACGTGTATAGCAGATTTGCAGGCTTCTGTTGACAATGGCCATGCTCTTAAAGGAAAGTACCGTATTTTTCACCCTATAGGACACACTTTTTCCCCTCCAAAAATGAAGGGGAAATCTGTGTGCATCCTATGGGGCGAATACAGGCTTTCGCTGAAGCTTGGAGAGCGAGAGGGCTTCAGGAAGCTATAAGCAAGCCTGGGGAGTCCGCGGGAGTTCCCGCAGGGCTCCCTAGGCTGCGGATAGCAGCCTGCTGCCCGGCGCGCGGGGCACCCTGAAGCAGAGTGCCCCGCACGCCGGGCAGACATCCGCAGCGTGGGGAGCCCTGCGGGAGTTCTCCCCAGCGCCAGCCCCACAAGCTCGGGGGACAGCAGGGAAGCGCAGCGCCGCCCCCCCCCGTTCCCCAACCTGGTTTGGAGGCTGGCACTGGGGAGAAGCGCGCCCCACAAGCTCGGGGGACAGCGGGGAGGCGGAGCGCCGCCATACCGCTGTTCCCCGACCTGGTTTGGTTTCCCCGACCTGGTTTTGGGGGGGAAATAAAGGAAATCCCCCCTTTATTTCCCCCCCCAAAAAACTAGGTGCGTCCTATGGGACGGAGCGTCCTATGGGACGAAAAATACGGTAATACTTGTATGCAGCTTAAATAGCTGGATAAGCCTCTCTTCTCTGCCCCAAGGCAGATATTTCAGAATGTTATTTTTAGGGAATTCCTTCAAGGCCTAGGCATTAATTATGCTTGAAGAGACTAACAGACATGGAATGAAACACTTTATTATAACAACTTGGGATGGAGGCAGGTAATGATTTTAAAGAAACTGGAAATAGCATACAAGCATAACCCAGATGCAGATGTAATGTTCCTGTTCCCAAAAAAATTAGACAGCCTTCCCCAGGAAAGGAGACTTCCTTGTTTGTTAAATGGGCTTGCCTATGATATCTGACACAGGAAAATGTGGTTTAAGTACTCCTTGTAGACCAGGCTCAAATCTGTGATGTGCTTCCCACATTGACCACTGTGAGGAACAGGATGCTGAACCAAATAGGGCTTTTCTTATATTCTTACAACTAAGGAAATATCTGCAGCTGGGCATGATAGGAAGACGGTGTGCTTCAGCCCATCCTTATTTCTACTCCAACAAACCGTATTTATTGGTAATTGGGAAGGTCACATTTGAATACAGCCATAGGTTTTGATTAAAAGGACCCCTTGTCTGCATGGAAAGCACTCTTTCCCCCCACAAGTGGAGGTGTTGTTTGACTTCCCTGACCCACAGGAGTCACTGGGCATAAGTGGCTGCAACAAGAAAAGGGAGGAAAGCCCCATTGCACAGACAAAACTCCAATGGTTCTTTGGATCCAAACCATAGTCCTGCTGTCTGACTCTAAACTTTTTTTTGTGAAAAATCATTTTCTCTGTGCATAGTTGAAACGGACTGCCTAAGGTATGCTCTTTGAGCAGCTTAGACTTGATCAAGCTTGCGTTTTCTTTGAGTTGATTCAAGTACCACTGTGTTCTGCTTTTCCTAATTGCTTTCGTAACAAGTATTTCCCCTCCACTGAACCTTATACTGCAGATTACAGCTTTGAAGCCAGATGGAGATGCATCACAAGCCAAATCGAAATGAGACCAATAATATGTCGAGTCCACTGCTGAGGAAGTACAAACTGCAGATTCCAGTTACTGAAGGAACTTATGGCGAGTCCTTTAAATGCACATTTGTTCAGTCCCACCACCAATATTCAAGATGTTGTCTAGGTGGCAAGCTGCACCCAGCAGACCCTATAAAACTTGGTCCACTTGAAAGACAGTGGGAGCAGATGAAATGCCAAAAAGCAATTCTAGGGAACAGACTTTTGGGTGCGTTTATTGTCAGGTTCTGCTTTGATTCGCTTTGCCTGAGCATCTGCATGTGTGACTGTGCCAATACTATTTGACTGAAATGTCTGTCCTTAGTTATGGTGACAAATAAGTCTTCAGCTGGCAGCAATACACTATAGTACAGATTAGCAGCAATGCTCATCCGGAAGTCTTTACAAACTTAAATATTTCTGTAGAATAGACACAGGTAATACTGCCAAAGTCTGGAGCAAGAACTTCCTCACTTAGAACTTTTAGGCCAAATGTCTCTGAAGTTTGAGCTTGCTTGCTATTGGCTCAGCATACCAGCAGCAGCCCTTTCTACCACTGTAGCTGTAGCCTTCATTAAGCAGCTTTTTTATGGGCACTTGAACCCTGACAAAGCTTCTGTACTTTTATAGTTCTATAGTAGGATGTGGCAAAGAGACAAAACCTAACATATAAGCTATATAAGGAGACCTGGAAAATGGCATCCTAAGAAATGGCACCCAGGAAACATGGCAACCACAATGCAAGCTGGCAGTTAGGTTAGTGGCTGAGGAAAGCTGTCTTTGCATGTGAAAAAGTTATGGCTGGCAAGCAGCGGCACACAGGAAAAAAGCTTTAAAAACCAGTGGGTTTCAAGCTTCAAGGGAGCACTTAGGCCTGGGACAAGAGAACTAGCAACTGGGGGTAGTGTTCATGCCGGTGAAGAAATCTGCTGACATATGTTGTGAAAGGATGGCATAATGAAATTGGCTGTCCGGGGTAATTTTAAAAATTAATCTCTGTTCCTGCTGCTGTCTCCATCAAAACTGATGGCTTTTCAATGAAAATGTGAGCCCCTGGGAAATCTGAACTCCTGGTCCATTTGTGTTTGACACCCGTTTTTAAATCTCAAACCCTTAACACAACCACAAAATAAAGACCTGAGCAAGGCCTATGGAGACAGCCACAGGCTCAGAACTTAGTTATACCCATTATACTATAGAGCCAATTAAATTTGCTGCAGTTGGCAAGACGTGCTTTCTTTCCCCAATAAACTGGTGTCACTGGGGGCAGGTTTAGCCTCCACCAAGTAGTTTCCTGAGGATATTGCTTTATTTTCTCCTGTGTAAGTGAATGGCCCCTATCGACATCTGTAAGAAAACATTAAGAGCTGCACTATGGGATACTGTATTGGTGGAAATAAAACCTGTTTTCCAACCCTGGGCAACCCAGCCCAGAAAGTACCTCCCCTGCAATGCACAGACAATCTCTCAGTTCCATCACAATACTGTGCAATAAAACATTATCTTCCTATGGATAGACTTTGCTGTCCACATTCTGAATAACATCAGCAAGCTGATTAAAGTATCACATCATGAAGCCATTATCAAATTCTATCCCAAATGGTTGTTTTTCCATTTCATTTTAGTCCAAATGTCATAAGCATCATCCTCAGACACAGGGTCAATGAATCATAAAATTCCAACTTTTCTTGTTTTGACACCTCCTGCACTTTCACACTTTCTATTAGTTCAAATTATAGAGCCTAACAATAAGCTCAATTTCCAGTTTTATTTAATAGTGTGCTTAGCTGCAGTCTATGGAGGAGAGGCTGGAGGAAATGGCAGACTGCACAACAAAAGCAGCAGCCAAAGGCCAAGCCCCCACAGCTGCACAGATCCCATTTGCCCAAGTGAGGGATTTCCAAGGATTATTAAAGGGATCATTTAACTTTGGAAGTGGTGGGAGTGATTTGTATTATAATTTAGAAATGCATTTTCTTGGATGCAGCTTGACAACAGCAAAATATGCTAGTATATCTGAAAAACCCTTTTTAAACAAATCAAGAAATCAAGTGCTGAAGGTCAAGGGGAAAGCAAAACTATATTCCATAGGGACACAGCTATGGAAACCTAGATTCACTTGGGATCAGTAGTATCAGTCAATGTGCAGGCAAGGGATCTTTAGCCTAGTTGCCCATCCCATCTGTATTCCTCCTTACCACCCTTTGCCATTAGGCTTCACTCAAATGTTGGCATAAGGAGAAATAGCTAACATGCAGTTGGGTGGAGTCCCAGGTAGCATTGATGCAATGATGGAAATTACCTGTGACCCAATATCTATGTGCAATTTGTCCAATTTCTGCTTTTCTTCCATCATAGTTTGGAAGCGAAAAGATTGCAGAAACTGAGTGAATTATTTATCCATTCCTGCAAGTTTGCACCTAGTTCATGTCTTACTTCCTATACATGGTGGTAAGCACATATCCCAAGAATAAGGCTCACACTCTACCCTATTCGCGAATGTCTGAAATGACTCTAACAATATTCAGAAGTATCTCCAGTGAACACACAGGGCTCTCACAAATGCACAGGAGCAGTGCCATGCTTGCAATGGGATGCACATGCAGAGCTACTCCTTTTGGAAATGAATGGGGAAACTCTTGTGCGAATGGCATCTTCATATACCTATCAGAGCTCCTGTGCACACAAATACTTGCTGGATGTTAACTTTCAGTTCCTGCAATAAGAGACAAGTTCTCAGAGGCAAAAGCAAGCAATACCTCTGCCTTCATGCATATAAAGCAAACTGTCTCAAATAAGCCATCCAAGGAACTGAGTGGCCCAGCAATCCTTCATTACAGCTCTGAAAAGCCATTACAGTCATACCTTGGAAGTCGAATGGAATCCGTTCCAGAAGTCTGTTCGGCTTCCAAAATGTTCAAAAACCAAACTGTGGCTTTTGATTGGCTGCAGGAAGCTCCTGCAGCCAATCAAGCCATGGAAGCCTTCTTGGACGTTCGGCATCCAAAAATAGTTTGCAAACTGGAACAGTCACTTTGCGGTGTTTGGGAGCCAAAATGTTCGAGAACTAAGCTGTTCAAAAACCAAGGTACGACTGTACTAGCTATGGTCTAACAATGCAGAGGACATTCAGGTACAAAATGTCCACTTGCCCCCCTTGAAAAGGCATGCCCCACTTCAAGAACATTTGAATCTGGGGATGAGGATGACTTGACATGAGGTTCACCCACAAAGGTAAAAGGTTTTTGATTTGTTGGGACATTTGCTGGTGAATGGAAGCTGCACACAAAAAAAACACTCGGGATTTTTCAAATCTACATGCTTGAAAAAACTCAAATCTACATGCTTGAAAAAACAACCAAAGGGTTGTTAAAATGAACTAAGGAGCAGTGTTTGGACACCACTAGTATGGACCATGAACTAGCCTACAGTTCCCCAGTGCTAGAACTGAGAGGTGTACTTTTGGTTTTTGAATGTTGAAAGTAGAAGAACAAGCAGCCTGTTGATCCAAGGTTCTCGGACTCTAGGATCTATCAAATCTATTGCTGGTTTACCTGAAAAAGAGGAGGCTGCTTTTCTGTGTTTGAAGCTTTGTCCATCCAGGAATCCAGAGGTTTTAGGGTAGTGCTGCTCTGAGTAACCACGGGAAACTTGGCTGCCAATGTTGGCCGACTGGATACATGCAACTGCTGCTCCTGTTGGACTATCTGAAGTTTCTTTAATAACTCTTGTGGTGAAATTACTCCAGAATTTCCAGATTGGTTCCCAGAGAGAGGAAGGGACTGTCCGGGAAGCTTGGATTGTTCTTTACCAAGGGCTGGAGGCCCCAAAGTCTGACCTGGGAGTGAGCCATTGAAATACATGAGATGAGGCTGTGTCGCATTCTTTACCTGGGCTCCTGAGGAGACAGCAGGAGCTCTGGTGAAGACTGATGCAGCAGAACTCACTGGTCCTACATTGCTGGGTTCCATTTTTGTCATTTGTCCTGACTGGCTTTGGAGCTGTTGCAGCAGGCTACGTGTGCTGGCGGCATCTTGGACTGGATGAGATGTCCGAATGCCATGAGAAGCCACAGGCTGGAAGAGTCCCGTGAAAACCTCCCGTACCGAAGGGACGCTGCCGTTCTCACACATCCGGTTCTCAGGGAGTTCGGAGACTGGGTGAAGCTCTGCTCCACGCACCATCAGTTTCTGAATGGCCGGGCAAAGCTGCTTCTCTGCTGTGGGTGAGTGTCTTCCAGGTTCCTCATAGGACAGAGAGCGCACCACCCCTTGCCTCAGAGGAAAGTTTTCTTGGTGAAGTTTTTGTGACTGCTCTGAGGTATCTTGGTATATGTTAGACTTTTCCTGCTTTCCAAAGAGCGTTGTGAGAGATAAGTGTTGTGGTTCAGGGTCTATTTTCTGGTGGGGGAGCGGGGAGGAGAAAAGAAAGCCAGTTTAATTCAGAAAAATAAAGGCGAAATAAAGGTTTGGCTCGCAGCATCAAAGGAAGAGAGAGAACAGCAGATGCCACTGTACGTTCTCCGAAAGCTGAACAAATGGCTTTTCTACAAACAATTGGTAAGATCACAGACGTTCTGTTTGTGGCAGAAGCATGAGTTTGGAACCAGTTGGTGGGAAGATGGTTGGTGAGGACAGTTATAAGGAGAGAAGTGGTGGACAGGGGACAGCTCCTCTTATATGCTGCTTCTTCAGCACACACCACACTTTCCTGACACTGCCTCACAGCTTGCTCCAGTAAGTGTTGGGTCTCTCCCTCCCTTCATCATCACTCAGCAGCAGAACCTCTTCACCTCCAGTGAACTGGCTAGCAAACTACCACTTATTTTATTTACTGTATGATTCTTTATCTGAGTGTAGCAAAGGGTGTAAAATTACACAGCACTGCACAAAAGGTTACAATACAGTGGCACCTCGGTTTCCAAACGTCTCCATTGATGAATGTTTGGGTTTCGAACACGCCTTGGAAGTCAAACGGCTTCTGCTGAGTGTATATGTCATTTTTCTCTATTAAATTTGCAGACCGCCCTTTGCGCCTCGGTTTTCGAAACTCAAACGGTCTTCCAGAACAGATTACTTTCGAAAACCGAGGTACCACTGTATAGCAGAGCTTATCTACCTGTTTGCTGACTGTACGTACTAAATTATTATTAACAACTCACACCTGGTATATGAAGCTTCATTTCAACAGTTTTCTTGAATCTTTATGTGGGTGGAGGAAACAGGTTGAATTTAGTTTTGTTTAATTTACTTTTTATTTCTATGGCTAGAATGATTTCGGTCCAATTTCGCATCTTCGCTTCACAAAGCAATATACCTAGAGTACAGCCTGAAGATATATGAGGTCACCACCTTACTGAAGCTAAGCAGGTCTGGGTCTGTTCAGTGCTCAGATGGGTGACTCTTGGCAGCCATATGCACAATGCATGGAGTTCCACGGCAGAAGAAAGATGGGACATAAATGTAAGAAATTAAATTTAAACAAAAGAGTTTATACTCTGGATTTCTTAACAGTTAACTGATCTGGCTCAGTAATCAAGAGCACACACCCTTGTTTAAGAATGTAAGGTGCTTTGGTAGGGATCAGACCAAGATCAAACTTTTCCAATATTTGTTAAAAGAATCCTACAAATCAAGAGGCAAGAGGTGGCCTGCTGATGGAGCACAGTCTTCCTTCTACCTATCTCTGAAATATTGCACACAAACAGCGCTGTGTGTTGTTTCCTGATTAAGGGCATAAAATTGGACAGCACAGATCTGTCACCTTTGAACATGATGTGTGATTATGAGCTGTATCTTAGTCCTCCCAGCCCAGTGTTCATGAATATCATACACTTTGCAATGGGCTATAAAATTTCATTCCAATGTAAACAGAATTGCATTACAAAATTCCATTCAAATTGCATCCACTGTAAGAAGAATTGAAAGGTTTTAAGAATCAAAGGGGTACTATGAAAGGCAGGCATAACTCCTAACGCCAACACAGGGAAAAAGCAATCACTAGAAGCCTACAGGTACTCTTATTAATGCTTATGATTCAAAGTCTATAAATCATAGACGGTCACTACTGAAGGAGTTTTAAGAGCAGCAACAGAAATGGTGTCCCTCTCAAAATAGGAAAGGGGAAAAAAAGAGGGCAGCATCAAACACAAAGGTGGGGGAAGAGAAAATAAAATTTTATTAAATGGTAAAATGTCCTTATAAACCAGTGAAATGCTTGATGTTCTTCACTAAACTGCATTGGGCATTTTGTTGTCTTATAAGATGAATATGTTTTTCAGGGGCACGGAAAGAACAACAACATCCAAATACAAAAACAAACTATAATACAAATTGTTATATAACATAATCACCAGTGCCCCTGAATTATATGCATTATGTTACATAGCCTCATTCTCAATGGGCTTTCTGTCCTAAATTTCAAATGGAATACTACCAGACTGCTGAGGGTAACTAAGCTACTGACTGAAGTGGTGGTAAAGTTTTGTTCTTATTTATAAAAGAAAGAAAAAACTTTAACAGTAAGCCCATTCCTCACCCCAAAATTAATAGATTTCACCTGTCCCCAAAAGTTGTTGATGTTCCCCATTTCTTTAGGGGATGAATAGTCCTGTAAAGGGGGTGAGGTAATATTTGGCCTAGCATGGCCAAGGGCTGCCCACGCCTCTCTGTTCAGCCATTCCAATAATACACCTTTGCTTTAAAAATGTTTATTTTGTAGTAATTGTTTTCTGAAAGCTGTGTGCTCTACTGATGCATACAGCCAAATATGCTGGAGCCCTCATCCAGACTTATTTAAAAATGAGTTCCAAAAAGCAGCGTGACTACCTGTGGTAAAGATACATACCACCACACCAGGGTAATGAAATTGTGGATCATGGTTGGGTTGAGAGCAAAACTGGATGTGATGGCAGAGCTTCACCCAGCAAGGTAATCTTTTTTTATTGCACAGAAAGGCTCCTAACACAGACTCATAAGCCTTCTAAACTAAGAAGCTTAGGGTTAAGAAAGTAAATACAATAGCATACCTGGACTTGTTGAGGAATACACTGGTGCTGAGTTTCGCTAGGCTTCACTGGGATTGGTTTGATCAAGTTGGGGTTGTCATATATAGCAGAAGAACTGGTTATCTGTTTTGGCTCTGAGCACATTTTACACTGCAACACACAAACAAAAATATTGCTACATTAATTCTTTTTATAGAAAGCAATTTTTATTTTCAATCTCTCCATCACCACGAAAAAAAGAATACAGTACAGTTAAACTTGAGAAGAGAAAACAGAACTGACAAATTGACAAATGTCCATGAGGATCAAGGGTACCTGAAGGAAAGACAATTGGATTTTCTTGGAACATGAGCCACATGCAATATAAGTGCAGGAAATATCCATACGAGGGATTTTATACAGATCATCTTCCATTCTAATCGTCTCTTCACTCTGCTCTTAACCTATATTTCATGCAGACTAAAGGCTAGACTTAGATTTAAAAGGGTAAAAAACATTAGAAAAACAAAACAAAAACAGCAGTGGCTGCAGGTTATCCAGATAGCACATGACATTTGATATAACAGTAGATTTTCGTCCCTGACAAGGCTCTTGAGACATCAAACATATTCAAAATCGTAATAAAAGAAATGTAACATAATAAAATAGTAGAATAGCAAAGGGGGGGGGGACCCAGAATCATACCCACCAGTAAAATTCAACAGAATAAAACATAGTTAAAAACCAACTACAGAAGACTGGGCAAATTAAAAACAACCACTTGGCCCACAAAAGAAATTAAACTGGCAGTGGCAAACTTCTCAGTTCCATCAGGATCTGGTATGGCTGGGCAACCCCAGGCGGTAGAGGATCAGAAGAAAGAACGGGGGGGGGGGGGGGGGGGCTTGTAGGTTGGTGCCCAGGAATGGAAGATGGAGGTCCTCTCCTTGTGACTCCAGATGTAGCACTGTGGCGGGGGAGAGATGTGCTGGCTCTCTTCATTGCTCCTGCTGCAGAGTCCCATTGGGGAGTGAGAAGGACCCTGACCAGCCAGGGAGAGGGTCTGAGCAGGAGGACTCAGTGGGGAAGATGGAGTCAGAAGGGTCTTGTCGCAGAGCAGAAGGCACCACCTCTGTAGGTGGGATCAGACACAACCGCCCAGGCTAAGCACATATCTGAATGGAGTATCAGGAGGTGAGAGTGTATTGAGAGTGATCTCACCCCACCTCGTATTTAAAAGCTAGGCACGAGTGGTGTGACAACCGCAGGACATCTCTGTTGCTTCTGTTCACTTTTGCATCTCTTGCCTTCCACATGTACCTTGGAATCATGACTTCTGGACTAATTGCCTGCTGCTGAGCCTGCACCACTATTAGTATGAATAAATATCTTTTCTTTGGAAGATGCTTTAGACCATTGGTCCATCTAGCTCACAATTGGGTGCATTGACTAGCAGCAGCTTTACAGGATTTTGGATGGAAGACATTGACACCAGCAAGGAAGGGAGCGTATCTAGCGTCAGGTTAGACTGGTGGATACTATTTATTTATTTGAATTATAAATACTTTATACTTTCATTTGCTGTTCTACTAAACATCACTAGAGAATGTGAAGTGATAAAAAGCACAAGCTAAATAATAATACAAATGTTAAAAAAATAAAAAGCAGTTATCACAACTGAAACAAGCAGCAGCAGCAGCAGCAATAATCAGTACAACAGCAATTGAGAAAACCAGTAATGGACTTCATGTTTCTTTGCTTAGTGATTATCCCAAACTGCAGTGCAAAGAGGGTCTATGAAGGATACAAAAGCTGATTCCATCACATGGAATTCAGTCACAAAATGATAAAATGTAAAACAGCTATTTTGAGAAGCGTGGTGGTCCTGATGTGCAGTGGCTTTTGATGCAAATAAAACTGTAAAATGTGTCACCTTTGCTTAGCCTAATGTACATGATCTCCAGCTTTGAGAGGACAGCTATTCTTGTATCTCAAAGGGCTTCCGAACATAAAATTATCTATGATAGATTATTTTCTTAGCAACCAATTATGATAAAGAAATAGAGGGATGGGGTGGAATAAGAAGCAGACATGGACTGACTGACTCATCCTTCAAACAAATGTTTTCTAACAAAGAGAGAAAAAATGAAACCACTTCAGTATGAGTGTAGTCTTCCAAACAATCTTTTCTACTGTACAATAAAAGGGGAAAAAAAACAATTAAATACCAAGCATGAAAATGGGTTTTTCTTTGTTCCTTCGGAGGGAATGTGACCCTATCTGGAACAAGTACTTGCCTATCTTCTGAACATGGGAGCTACCCAACCAAAGAGACTCTGCCTTCTCAAGATTCAAACACAGTTCATTGGCCCTCATCAGCCCACCACTGCATTCAGACACCTGATTCAGACCTTTCACAGCCTCTCCTGATTCAGATGTTATGGGGAAATGGAGCTATGTATCATCAGTGTACCGATGACATCTTTCCCACAAACCTCTACTGACTGCCCCCAATGGCTTCGTATAAATGCTAATAGCACTGGGCCCTGCAGGACCCCACAGCACAAGTGCCAGGGGGCCAGGGAGTATTCATCCAGTGCTACACTCAGAACGCAGCCATGAAGGTAAGGACAGAACCATCATAATATGGTGCTTCCAATACTAATTCCTCTGAGTCAGTCCAGTAGGATACTGTGGGCAATAGTGTCAAAAGCCACCAAGAGATTGAGCAGAAGTAACACAGTAGTGCTCCCCATCTCTTTCATAATGAAGGTCATCCATCAGAGCAACTAAAGCTGATTCAGTTCCAAAACCGAGTCTGAACCCAGACAGTAGTGCATCTAGATAAATCTAGTCTCATCCAAGAATACTTGCAGGTATTGTTTTATACAGGATAGGCCTCACCTTGGTATATTCATCTTTGGCTTTGTTGAGCATCCGTAGGATATCCACTTCTTTGCTGTCACCCAAATTCAGGCTTACTGGGGAAATTCCAGTGCCAGCCCCCTGCTGTGCTTTCAGTTGTTCTTGCTGAGTTAAACTGGAAATGAAGGGTGAAGTTAAAAATGAGGGAGAAAATGGAGTTCAATTCCAGCTGCTTCAAATCATTTAGCAGACATTAAGAATGGCTCCAAGGTTGTTGTTTTGGAGGAGAAGGGCTATCTCATAAGGTTTGCCTGGGTTGATAATGTAATTTCTCAAATTTTGTGCACACTGGGCCATAAAAGACTTAAATATCCCTAACACAGTCACAGATCGTCTGGCTGGGAAGTACATTAAACCACAGCTCATTTTATGATTGCTGGTGATGGTAGGGTGGCGAATATACACAAACAAGTCTTTAACTGCTAGTAAATGACCAATTTCCTGCCCCAGCTGTTTTATAATTACTGCAAACTGCTGATAATTCTAACACACAGTCACTTGGCTGAACTGCAGTGCAGTTTTAACTAGATGAAATGCTGCTATTATAACCCACTAAACATGGTTTACAATCATACAAATCCTCACAAACTAGTCTTTTACTGAAGAAAATTAGCAGTCTGAGAGACATTTAATCACCAAAAACTGCAGGGAGAGCTGATTAGACACAGTTATCTTTCAATAACGTACAGTTGTTTGAGATGACAGCTTGCTTCTCCTGAAATCTTGTATAAATTCTTTCTTGCTCCTGATATTAACCATTGTGGTGTTGTTCACCATGACAAAGGCACCACTGCCACACAGGGATTGTCAATATAAGGCACTCCACTCTCTTTCCTCAGTTGCTTTCATGGGCTACAAGTCAACTTTGTCAGTCTCCCGTTCTAGGCTGAGGCTCCCAGAGGCTTTCTGATCAGGCATGGAAGCAGTTAAGGACAGGCACCAAACGGTCAAGATTGCGGATATTTCACTGTGGGCTGAATACAACATGTGACAACAGATATCCGAGTCACTGATGACAGAGCGCTTAATGTGTTGCTTCTTCCAGCATTGCAGCAAGAGATTTATGTAAAATCCACCTTCATAGAGGTCAGTGCTCCAGGAGCCCACAACTCTTATCCTCAAGAGTCTTTGGACTCTACTTTTGATTGGATATTTGATGGGTATTCTATGTTAGCAGAAAGGAGGGGAAAAGATCTGTAAATAATGGGGCCCCAAACGCCACCAAAAGCAAGGAGCAACAAAACCTGTTTTATTGTCTTATTGGCCTTTAAGGTGACACAGGATTATTTCTTTTTTTTGCTATAGCCGATCAAACAGACCTATTCCTCTGGATCATGTATTGGTCATGGCTCAATATGCTTCCACTCCCCGCACAGGCTACACACTATGCTAGCTATGCTAATATTTGTTTTAGATGACTGTTGCCATATCAACCTCTTATGGATCAATAACTGCTTAAGAAAAGGAAACAGACATTTTAAACAGTTTAAAATAAGGAGACAAATTATCAATAAACTACCCAAAGGTTCTGTACTGGGAATGCTACCTTTTATTCATAAACGTTCTTAAGTCAGGGGTAAGCAGTGAGATAGCCAAGTTTGTTATCTGGGCTGTGAAATGCAAAAGCAAATTGAAGAGTTCCAGAAGAATCTAGCTCCAAACCGAGTGAATGATAAGAAAGCTTCACACAGCATTTAATGTGCGCAAGGGCTAAGTGATGCACACTGGGGCAAAACAGAACTACTTTGTACATATGGAGGTGGGATCTGAATTGACTGCAACTAACCCAAGAAACAGAACTTGAGGTTGTGGTAGGCAGTTCACTGAAACTGTCAACTTTCTGCGCAGTGGAAGTGAAAAAGACAAGTCAATATTGGGAATGGAAAATAAAACTACCAATATTACAATGACTTTTATATAGATCTACTGTGTGACTACATTTGGAACATTAGGTGCAGTATATCTCAAAAATTGTATCACAGCACTAGAAAAAGTTCAGAAATTTCCCCATGAGGGAAGCATTTGCACACTTCTGATGCGGTGGGGTGGGGAATACAACTAAGGGAAGATATTAGAGATTTTTAATATAATTACTCTGCTCCTTTCAATTGCTACACAAGAGGGATACATGCCTATTTCTTTTTTCAAAAAGACTATAGCTGCAATTAAATTGTGTTAGGGAAATGTTAACTAAATTTGTGATCTGTGCATATTTCTGTAATGTCTAATAAGCAGTAATGTGTAGCTTATAGTTTTCTATTGTACTTCACTGTGAATGTGAGTCAGGATAGGATAAAACGGTAGGTGATTGTTATTAGAAGTATTTAAATATTTTTAGAAGTTTAATTGTATTAGTATTGATATGTTTTGCTGCCCTCTGGCTCCTCTGGAGGAAACTTTGGGGTAAAAATCTAAATAATAATGCTGAGAAAGAGGAGCTCTGACTTTCCTAGAGTGAAACATCTTCTCTCTTTCTCTACAGCAGATGGACTCTTTTGTACATCCATTTCCAGGTCTTGTAGAATTTCCTGATCAATGCCTAGCAGGAGAAGTAAATCTGTAGATCGTTTCACAGCGATCGCACTGTAATGTAACTGGGCAAAAACAAAGATTGGCTGGTCCATTGTTATGCCCAGGCAAATTTAACTCCCCTGATAAATCCTCTAAGCTGCAGGCATCTGGTTAGAGTTAGAATTTAGATGATAAATTGAGTATACCTATACCAGATTCTACACTAGACTCCACCCATGTATATTTAGAAAGTTACAGCCCAAACATCATATGTATGACCAATTGCAAGAGCATGGCATTAGATACAAAGTGAGTGTAAAAGTAACATGGGAACCAGAATAACTGGAATGCCTCTGCAAGTGGCCTAGCTACCATTACCACACAGATGGCTACAGGATTACGAAAGAGAGAGAGGGAAGGGCCTTACCTCAGTGGTACAGTATTTGTTTTGTATGTAGAACACCCCAGGTTTGATCCCTGGTATCTCCAGGTAGGACTGGGAGAGACCCTGTCTGACACCCTAAAGAGCCACTGCCGCCTCAGATTATGGCCTGGAGGACCTCTGACCTCAGCAATCCAGATAGGATCCCTCAAACCGGTACCTAGCTAATCCACCCCGTGGTGGAATTTCATCATTCAGGGCACTTAGAAAGAGATGCTATCCATCAGTGTTTGGATATTATAAAACTAATATATTAAAAATACTAAGACCTGATCTCTATATACTATAGCAAGCACATTTATAACATTTATTGAATGTGTATGGTCCTTGGCTTAATTGTATAATCCAGGTTTTATTGAAGGCACTAACCTGTTTCAGCAGGTTAATCCTACTTCAGTCCTACTTCAAAGAAACAGTCCTACTTCAAAGAAGTAGGGAATAAAGTTGCATATTTTTCCATATACCAGGGCAAGTGAGATCAATAGGAATAGACTATACAAAATAAACTGCAAAGTATAAAAATAAATTACAATTTACAGACATTTGCCTGTGATTTATTTCCTCCTCAGTCTTTATCAAAATGAGCTTTCCTCCCAGTGAAGTAAACTTTCACTGAACAATTCCAAAATGCGTTAGTCCAAATTAAAATATGCCTCACAGTACAATCTTATGTAGTTTTATTCAGAAGTAAGTCCCATTGATTTCAATAAGACTTACTGCTATTTACGTGTGCACAGTACTGCAGCGTCAGTTGACTTTTCTGCTTTAATGAGCCCATTTATGCTGTTAATATAAAGGGGGTTAATCTTAAACAGGCTCAATATAATGAACAATGCTATAACATGCAAATGATCACAAATAAAATCCTCAAAGGGCTTCCTTGACCACCAGCACTTACTTTTTCATGAGCTCTGCAATTCTTTGGCATTCTTCCTTATCATAAAACCAAATTCCATAAATGGACACTGTAAATGCACATCAAACACAAACAATGAACAACACATTACAATGCTTTCCAGCACCCTCTGGCTTTGTAAAGGTTTCAAAAATATTTTGTAAGCCTTAAACAGTTGCATTTTACCTTCCCCCTGTTGCTATATGATGCACATATTTGGCTGCTCCCCATACCTTCCAGTTTCTGTTCTGGCTCTGTACCAACGCACCAGGTCCTTCCAACTTCTACTTGTGCAACACTGTCCGCAGCCCCATCCATGAGGTCTGCATTTATTTATTTTTATTAACGTTTGAAAACGTTACATTTGGACCTTTGGCTGCTGGAAACTAGCCCCAATGCCTTGAATGAACGGGCAACTTTCACCCATCTGCATGGAATGGAATTGGGGATACTTTCTGGAGTGCTTTCAGAGTGATCAGGTTATGTGGTCATGATTAGTTGGGGAATGTTGATAGAGAGAACAAAGTATATGCAATGTTATAAACCTTCTGTTATTGGAGTAAAAGACAGTCTCCCCTTCTATCATCGCTTTGGTAAACTGGAAATCCTGGAATAACTGAAAATTTATGTCTGCTAAGAGATTTGTTCTGAACATTTGGGGGTAAATAATCACTATAAATAGCAGCAATGTTTAAAAGACTGCACCCATTTTTACCGAACATTTTCTATCAATGTCCCAGATTTTTGTTTTACTTGTCTAAATAAAGCATTTAACACAATAGATTGTAGTGGGTCCAGGACGCCTGTATACATAATTCAGGAGGTGTTGTTGGTTTTACATTGTGACAATATGTCCACATTTTATACAGAAAAAGGAAATTAAATCTTGAAGCACAAGCCAACAAGCCCCACCCCAGAAGTGTTTAGCAGAAAAATCTATTGAAGGTGATAATGAGAGCTATTTTAGGTCCCAAATTAAGGAGTGATATATGCACTTATTTTCATGCTGAATGTGAAAATAGCATTTGTCCTCAGACCATCTGAATACAGAACGTGATGTCACACCTTCTGCAATGCAATTTTAAGTGCACTCAATAGTTAAAGTTAGGTTTTTGAACATCAAGTGCCTAAGCACATTAACTTGAAGGTTACTTCACTGGAACTCAATTCCAATTAGGTGGCTATGCTATATGTTTGCTATGAAGTAAATTGGCATGGAGTTCAGTTGCACTGAGTTACTGCAGCATCATCCTGCCCAAACAAGGAATAATTCCACCCCCACTGATGGTGGAAACACACCTGCAGGCATGTAGATTACCATAATATATTTCCCTACAATTCTTGCATGGTCTCCACTATTTGTAATTTGCCCTCATGAGATCAAAACCAGATACAACCACATCAATGCACTATTCAATCTCCAAAGGTGTAATTTCTATCTTAGTTTCAGCACCCAGGGGCTAATTTATAAATCAAAGTAACCTCAGGAGGAATTACAGGGAAATATTATTAAATACACTCGCTCTAATTCTCAAAGGAGACTATAGCTTTGCAGTAAATCATATGCTGTACATATGAGACCCTAACTGAAATATACCACCTCAAATTAAGCGTACATCCAGACAAGATCAATTGGTCATTTGCTGTCATGGTGCTCCTTTGGGAGTTCTCAATTTGAACTTTCTCCTCCTGGGAATTGCAGATTTGGGTTTCATATATTCTTTACTTGCCTATATTAAATGCTGAATTTGTGCAAATGCATTCAAACACATCCCAATAAACTTAAGCTTGTTTGCCAAGTCAGAGATGTTATTTTAGGGCTAGCATTATTTTTAATTACCTAAAGATTGTTTTAATTTGCACTTCATATTTACATCACAATTTTTTTATTCTATTTACATCATCATATTTTATCACCATAAATGTTTCCTGTGACATTTTTTAATTCAACAAGCAACAAAGAGAATGTTTCCTACTTTCCCCCAGCTAAGCATTCTTTATTTTCTCTTGCTGTGTATAGCCAACATGCTTTTCCAAAAAGAGACTTGCTGACAAATGAGAGTGCAGCTTGAGAAATGAGTTTTCAGTAATGAAAGGATGCAATTTCGCCTTTGAACAAGACAGTGAATAAGGTTAGGGTTCAATCTCCTATTTTGAAAGACTGCGCTGCAGCTTGTGTCATGTGACCCAAGACCCGGTAACTGAGTACTGTCACGTGCAATTGGTCCTTTCTTGTTACAAACTGCAGAACAGCTTGTGCTTACTGTCTTGCCTTCCATGGTTTATGAAGAGCCTTAGCTGCACATGCTGTTCAATGGATTAGGGCAAAATACACTGTTTAATGTCAAGGCTCTCCCCTGAAGTCAATGGGATTAATGTGCAAGTGAGCAGTCTGAAGACTACAGACAAGAACAATTCATCTTAACCTGTGAAATACACCAACAGTGTATTGCTTCTCTCTTTTTTAGTGTATACCTTCACTACTTAACATTGCTTCATTTTAGGGCCATTTCTAACATAATGTTTTGAATTTGCGAAATGGCTTTTTAAAAGCATTGCCTGAGTGCTTAAGCAGAAATTGTACATGGGGCTGAAGTATTTTCTGTATCAGTCTGTCAATGCGATTCTAAATTTCTGCGGCATTCCTGTTCTTCAGAAAAATTACTTGGATGATTAATCGCTTCAAAATGGTAATCTGTGCACAAATCACTTAATTGCAAACTATTCCAATGCAGCTTTTCTTATGCTACACTTTGACTATTATATGAACAGACTCAGGGATGCCAACTTGAATAAAATACCGGGATACCGGGGGGGGGGGCGCTGTGCATAACCAATCAGATGATGTGGCACACCATACCATTTGAATGGCAATTCCCATCAAATTTGGAGGGAAGCCAGCCTCCTCAAATTTTATTTTATGGGGGAGGGGCCCCCGAAGGGACCTTGGTCCCTAGGAATTGGCTCCTATGAACAGACCTACAAAGAATCCACTTCACACAACTGTTCAACAATATTCTCAATTCTTTATTAGTCCTCTTTATGCTCAGCAATAAATTCTAACTAAAAACTGCAAGAATGCTAATATAACAAAGAGGCCTAGAGCTTGAGCTGGAATTCAGGAAGTCACTGGTTCAAATCTCACCTCAGAAATGAATTTACTATGCAGTCTTTGGAAAGCCACCATATCTCAGCCTCAGCTACTCACCCTACATCCGTAATATGGGAACAATACTGAGTCCTGAAGAATCACAACAGGATAGCACAAACAGATGAACACAATAAAAATGTGGTTGTGGGGTCCAAAATAGTGCAAGGGAACGACTTCAGTGAAAGGATCCCAATGCGCTTTGAGCAAAAGCTCTCCCCAGGGAAATATTTTAATATTCCTACACAACTGGATAGTTTTTTTTAAAATGCACTCTGTTAAGCCTGAACTTTTTCAACAACAGTTTAAAACCATAAAAAGCATGAATTGATTTGTTTATTTTTATCATAACATAAAGTGTCAAATGCAAAATGCCTTAAGGTACACAGAACTAGAAAAATCAACATGAGAAGTCTCTTCACTTGAAAATATAAATGTGATGGATATCACATTTGATGAACTGGTACCCCACATGACCTGCAAAGGGCAAAGGACTGGAGCAGAATGCATTCCTAACAGTGTCAGACTCAAATCCCGAGAAAGCAATAGCAGTTTGTCCAGACCAGCAAGAAAACCCATCTTGGAAGCTGTAAAAGAGGCCAGAGAATATCAACTTATTTGCTGGACTCCTGACCTATTGTCTAAGGCAGAGAGTCTCCCTGCAATTCTCCCTTTGACTAGAGTGCAGTAGTGTTGCATAGGCCAAATATACCTGCCATCTCCTTATGGCACCAGTTCTCAATTCCTCTCTTATTTAAATAGATCAGAAAAGAATACATTTTGAACTGCTTGCTCTTCATTTTCCTTCACGGAGTGTTAAGTTCACCAGTGCAGCACACGTCACTTCTATTTCACATTAGGACTCCCATATGACACCACACTTATGCATGTTTATTGAATCTGGTGGTACCTGCACACGTGTTATATGGGCAAGAGTTGTTACATACTTAAATATCACAATCCAAAAATGATTGCCTAAACCAGATGCCTCAAAACAAATTAAATCCATCTCTTGTGACAAGTTATGGATTGGATTAGATTTATTACCAAGAGTGCAAATCTCTCTTTAGCTCAAGAAATCTGTGGTTAACTTCTGCTTGGAAGAAAAGGGATTTATAATCCTATAATGGTGTTTAAGTTCCCTTAACAGTGCCCTGGCTGCTTTCATAAAAAAAATAAAAATGGCTCAAATGCCACAGGATTGCAGGCTCAGAAATGCGAAGTAGCACTTTAAATGAATGCAATACAGATAGGAGTGAGTGGGGTTTTCAACGGTATCTTGAGCACTGTGTGACCCAGTAAGGAATGCATGTTTACAATAGGGCAGTCTCCTGGCTGGGACAGACTACTAACCACATGCATAGTATCCGAATATAAAGTTAAGGCAACACCATCATTTAAAGCATGCTGCCCCTGAATGATTTACAATCCCAGACACAAAAACAAGCTTATTCACTCATCAGTCTGTGGAGCCATTTGCAATCTCAGATTAATTTCACTGGAAAGGTTGCATACTTATAGGGTAAACTGCATTCCTTTCCTTTTAAGGAGATGTTATCCGGGAGTTATTTTTTAATCGCTGAAAAATGTTAGAAGGCTAGTTTTCAGGGCTGGCACTGAAACAGGCACTTTATCACATTGCATATAGATGAAAGGATCTAGACACGCACTGCAAAATATGCATCAAACATGCATTGCATAAGACTCGTGTGTATCACCGTTTTGTAACTCTATTGGCCTGGTTCTCATTAAAAAAAAAATGTAATTCATTCATTTGATGAAAATTTCTCTCTGGGTCCAGAAAGTCCAAGAACCCCTTTAGAAAGACATATTCCTCCAAATACAAGGGTACATTATCAGAGACAGTGGTGGTGATGTATGAAAACCAGAGACCTCTATGACTCAGGGAGGTGATGAACTGACAGGCAGATGGAGCCTATTATCCTCACTTCTCAGTCCAAGTTTTCCCTGTAAAACTAACAGAGGAGAAGGATTTTAAGCAAGCACAAGGCACAGATCGCAAGAAAAAGACTGGGAAGAACTGAAAAAAACAAGGAGCGACACACAAGATATCGCTCAGATTGTAAAGTGGTTTCCTTCGGGCTGCCTTTGGGAGTTTTAACAAAAATGTACAATTTTTGCAAATTTTCCAGCTACTAGGTTTGAATACTTCTAATGAAATTGTCACTGCCACGCAAAGAGTTCACTTTTGCCATCTATCCGTTTGGACTGTGAGAATTCATTTTGAAGAACAGGATGTTTCAGACCATTGTTCGGCAAGCAACTACAGCTTATCGTCCACTTCCTACGCACCACCCAGGGGAGCCTGGAGTGAAGTATACTGGCAAGATGGTCCATGAAACCCAACTCAGTTGCTTCTACATCACACCTGGAGGTAAGGACCCATAGCAACATGATATACAAAACTCAATGAAAAGATAACTGTATTTTATGATATCTGAAAAAATAGAGTGAATATTTTGGTATCTGCAGGTGAAATATTCTAAAATTCTATTTCTAAATTTATAAGAAAGGTCTTTAGAACTGAGAATTCCCAGAGTACTTACAGAGACAGGCAATTTCAGAAATAAATATGCCTACATAATTTGGCAGAGAACTGACGTCTAGCTTCTTAAAATTGTGATAACAAGACTGGTTTCCAAATGCTCACTGTGTCAGAGATTTTTGTTTTCTAATTTCTCATTTTTCAAAATTACTCAGTACATGGTCACAAATAATTTTGATTATTTTTAAATGTTTGCACAAAATCAGAATACAGAACCTCTCATAATGGGTATATAATAACAGTATGGAACAAGAATAGTGTCTCCTTTTTCAAATAAAACTGTCCAGTCTACTTGGAAAGGCCTATCTTATCTCAAAGAAATGTCCAATATGGCAGTTGGCCATATTTTCTCAACAAAATATGTCCAGACTAAACTGTACTGTCTATATTTTGAAATCGAGAAAGGGAACCTCTGGCACTGTACAGTGTACTGCATTAGTCTTTTTATGAATTTGGAACCATCCATACTAGCAGAAAACTCAAAAAGTGCCTCTCATACCACCCCTCAGATTTTACCTCCAAGAGTGGAGAACCATTGCAAAATCAGCACCAGCCATTGACAATCTGCATAGCATTGTTATCTTAAGCACTTCATTCAACCTCTTCTCACATGGCATAGTTTTGCTCTGATACAATACTGAATATTAATGAAGATGGATACTGTAATGAATTGGTATTTTTGGTGTATCAGAATGATCTATCAATGGTTCTCCAACAAGTGCTGGGAGCCTAGGTCAAAATGTGCTGAAAGTTTAGATAAGACATCCAATGGAGAAGACTTGTACTAGAGTACCAAGAAATCTATAGGCAATGAGTATAATGTGGATATTGTTTGCTTCGTATACAGGTCTACCTCAGAGCAGGAAAGTGGTTCTATACCAGCAGCTTTAAATATGTGTTCTAGGGGAAAACAGGCTCCTCAGGAGGTTCTTCAAGTGGCAAGCCACCCTATGAAATATGATATGTCATATGATGGTCTATACATAAAAATACACAGTACAGCTGGTGCATGACTTAAAACTGAAACAGGTCTTCTTTCTCTAAAAGCAGACATTTCTAAATCTATGTTTCTATACCAGGGGGGAAAGTTTGCTGTCAGACCAACAAGTAGCAAAACTGTGGTTTTCAGACCTGCATAACAGAAAAGGCTGAGCACACTGTTGTAACAGTTTGATGTCACATTATTCAATTTGCCCTGCAATGTCATCTCAGTTTATTTCTGCCCATAAGACCCATAATGTAATATTTACTGAATATGCAAGCCACTAATCTAGAAGACCTTTTGGAACTTTTCAACTTAGAGTTCTGTGATAGTCTACTGTAACAATATAGAATTGTTTGCACAACACAGTTGAAGTAAAGTTCCTGTTCAGGGAAATTATATACTAGTAACCCACACTATAATACTTCTCTTTACAGCATGGAAGTATTTTACTTCCGAGGAGCAAAAGTTCTGTCCCTTGCCATTACTAACAGATCTCTGTTTCATTTGATACCTACAGATACACATGTATAATGAAACCAAACTGACTTCAAATACTGCCTAAGCGAAGGGTTAGGGTTTCATTTAGTTGTTTAGTCCTCCTACTTGACGTTCAAAGTTCTGTTATTGCTAGAATTATGCTTGAATATATCAAGTGCTCATTTTTATATTACACAGAATAGTTTAACCAGGGCTGAAATGTATACAAAAATACGTTATTCAAAATAATATACAACAGAAAAAATGTTATTTGAAGAATATAAGTACTAGCCAATGTAATGGAAGGGCATAAAGAGGTAATTTTCTTACAGTAAGCACTAATTTTGCTTCTAGGCTATAGTTAGCTAGTCCAAGCAAATAACTATTATTGAATCTACGCCTGATTACAGCTGAGGTTATGAACTGTATTTACCCTTAGAATAGAACTTCTTTTGAATTGGAGGGGTAGAGAGGGGAAAGAATCCAGTTTAAGAAAAATAGCAAACAATTATTTTAAGTATTTAAAAGCAAAGTTGTGTTTGGACCATCATATTGTGGCTTATTAAGACAAGATATGAACAAGCCTTTTGCCCATGCAAACAGCCCCTTCGCTCCTTCACAGTGCCAACCATCTACCCAGAAAGTCTGCAATTAACCACAATTTTTTGTTCCATCTATACTGGGAAACTATGGTTGCCAGCTTTGGAATAAGTCAGCATCCTCAATCATAGATCCCAGCTTGTTCCAAAGCTGGAAATTTAGAGTTCAGACACAGCTGGCAGCCATAGTTTAGACCAGGGGTAGTCAATCTTTTTATACCTACCGCCCACTAATGCATCTTTCTTGATGGTAAAATTTCCTTACCGCCCACCAGTGCTCAATGGAAGGAGGATTCAGCTTGTGCCGTAGAACCCCCTACCGCCCACCCAGAATCCTGAAATGCCCACTAGTGGGCGGTAGGAACCAGGATGACAACCCCTGGTTTAGACAAAAATGAACACTGTAGTTAATTAGATACTTCCTGGTTCATGCCACAAAGGGAGGAGCAAAGGAGCTGAGATAATATATTCTGAACTGGGCCATTATGTGAGGATGAACTAGAATAGTCAGCATATTTTAGCAAGTATCCAATGGATATGGAGATGTGATCAGGGTCAATTATCAACCACATTTTGCACCCAGGGCACTTTGAGCTAAAATCAAGCACTTTCAAGTCCCGTTGATCTCTGGGGGGAAGTTCAATGCATGGCTAGTTTTGTCCTACTGAAATCAAATGGGACTTTAAAAAGTAGTTCAGCTCAGATGGATCACATTTTTACTTCAAAACATTTTGTTTCCTAATTTTTTATAACGAGACTTGCTATAACAACTATTCATAGTCCACTCTAACGAAATCTAGAGAAGACTGAAGATTTGAGAGGAACAGATGAAATGGTAGACAAAAACCACTGCTGATGTTGGCTGGTTAAGGGTGTCATAATATCCAGGGTTCCTAACCAGATGGCAAGCAAGAGGAACAGAAATGAATGCTTTTTACAGAACAAGGAGGGGAAGGAATTTTCTACTTCTTGTTCTTCAACAACTGTAGCAGTTATTTTGTTCTCAGCCTTGATCTTGCATGCTCCAGAAAAAGACACCAAGATTATCCATGGCAACAGCACATGTGCACACTTAGTCAGAACAACAGTAATGCCAAGCTATGCAGATAAGAGCTTAATTTGAGCCAAGTCTCACATGCCTTAGCCCAGTCTTGCATTTAATAATCAGTTCGGTAGCCGTCGGCAACCAGGAATTCCATACAAGGAAGTGAGCAGCCTGGGAAAGGAGGGATGGAGCCCTGTGTCCTTCCTCTGTGTTTAGTGTGAAACGAAACAGGCAGCTGAAAGAGGGCAGAAGAAATGTGTCTCTCTCTTCCGCCTCTGTTAGCCCCCAGCACACTTGTAAAAATGTTTGAAGGCTAGTAACTTTTGAGGGCTTGCTTTACAAAGCTGGCAAACATTACTCCTCTTTCCTTCCTAATCGCTCTCAACTATTGGTGTTAATACCTTATAAATTCACTTGTGATGGAGACATTATGGCCTTTGGTTTTCAGGCAAAGCCCAGCATTGCATAGAAAGGGGCGAGGGAGGAAACACCATAAGCAGCTGCACTCTCTGGAATCTGGGATAACACTAGCATGAGGAGGAGGTGCAAAACAAGCTCTTCTGATGTGGCCCAGGGATTCTCGCATTAGTTCAGCAGCATAGGAAGGAACAGTGCTGCAATAGCCACTGGCATGATGTAAGGAGGAGACGAAGGTTAAGCAATGGTTCAGAATGCATTGCAGGCATCCCTAAACCCAAAAAGAGGCACAAACTTCTCTCTTTTTCCTTTTGCTATTTAAATATGGGATGGCTGGGACAGGAAGCAGTGCAGAAAGTTAAGAGTCTTTGTGTTGTGATACTAATAGTTAGCAAGGGGTGGTGTCAAGGGCACTCTGTATTATTCTAGTTTGGGAACACTAGCTTTCTGTTTCTTTATTTTTTATTTCTCATTGTATGTCAGGTTTCTACCCACTAAGACTGCAAGACAGAGAATTGGTGACAGTATTCCTTTAATCCTCTAGCTTGGAGGAGGATTTTCTCTGGCCCTCCTGTGATGCAATGTTGCTGTCTTATATTATTTTGCTCACTAATTGACCTAAGACATCTCACTTTATTTTGCTGAATAGTTTGCTGTTTAAATATGCTGTCATCTACTACTACTACTACAACCAAACAGCCTTATATTTAAACACTACCCTTTGACACACACATCAAGCTATTGTAAGTGGGGCAGAGCTTCATCAGTTGAGGTCAGCATGGTTATGGTCACTGACTTGACCTCCAGTTGGTCACATCACCAGTGCTTACAGGGAGGTAGAGGGGGAAGAGACAAGGTGGAAACCAGTTCAGTGTGTTGCAAATTCACCAGCAGGAATGCCAGATTGGACTTTGTCCCTCCCCCTCTACTTCCTGTAAGCAGCAGCAATGCAACTGACAGGTCGGATGAGAAGTGCCGTTCCACCATGCTGTCTGCTACTGCTCTCCATCCTTCCTGTGCCAGCTGCAACAGGTTAATAACTTATGGGCTTATTTATATGACTACCTTCGCTGTATGGTTTCAAATCCAAGCTGATCCCTGTTTATGATTAGTGCTTAATTCCTTTAACCATGATTAAGAGCAAGGGTAGCATTTGTGCCCAAGAGAGGAGAGGAGATTTATGGAGGGCAAATCATGCATTCCCACAGGCATTCAACTATGGGAAAGAGGGAGCATAAAGATTGCATCTGCATTGGTCCCATGTCCCAAAGTGCTCTGATTCCCAAGTGTACAGAATCCCTGCTTTCTAAAGAGTTCTTGGGACACCACATTTCCTCAAGGCCAACATGTAAAATGGAAGAGAAAAATCAGTCCTTGATATCACTATATGGTGTGGGTAACCCATATGTGTACAAACACAACAGAAAACAACCCAGCTTTTCTCATCCTCTTCAAGTGTTTGTTATGCCTATGAGTCTAATTTGGTATTTAAAACCTAGAGAATGCTGTAATCTCTTAGGCAGATGGATTCTTTATTAATATGCATTTGTGAAAGCACAACAGAACTACAAGCTGTTCAGGGTTGCTAGATGCTAGTGTTACATAAAGAACTACTAACTACAAATTACATGCAAATGTTGTTTAAACGAACCCTAATGCCACATTAAAAGGCAGGCAGGCAGGCAGGCAGGCATGGGACAGGGAAATTTGAAGGGGGGGGGAGTATATACTCTTTCCACTCCCTGCTTCTTCTCTGCCCAAATGCCCCTGTCACTGCTTTTCCCACCATGGGGTTCTAAACTAGTGCTTCTCTCATTATTTTGGCAAGCCTGCTCATGACTCATGCAGACTATTCTGTAGGTTGGGTTGCTGGATAAGACACATGGCTGGTGTACTAACAAAATTTCATTGTCACGATAAAGGTTGGCTCAAGACATTTTCCTCCCTGAGGAGGAATAAATTGCACCCCATACACCCCGACAAGTCACAGGGCCTAGTACCCAAGGCCAGCGAAGTTATTTTGGCACCCGAGGCAGAAAATCCCATTAGAACCTTTTCCTGGCAGTAAAAATACGTGGCTAATACTACTGATAATAATAGTAGTAATTAGAATAACTAACAATTTGATACCCTTTTGTGACATCTAAAATCAGCAGCCTGAGGCATCCAGCCTCCTCAGTGTTAGAAGGCAGCCAAGGCAACACAGTCATCCTTCAGGACAAGTGGGAACCTTTATCAGCTGAAGAGCAGAGTAAAAATCCTTCAAAGAAATACCTATAAACTGAGACCACTAGAAAGATATCAGCATCACTGATTAAGCCCTTGCTGCTATAAACATGAGTTTATCACATATCTCAATGGGAGTTATTGAGCCCACCTGTATGAACATACCCATTTCTTGCTTGTGCTAGAGAACCCAGGAACCTGCTATACAACAGGGGTGAAGAACTAGATCTGGCTGCGGGCCGTATCCTTATATACCCTATCTCTCACAGCAGTCACCTGACATCACAATGACATCAAATGATGGAGCGCTTTGAAGTCCTAGCAAAAGTCAGGACATCAAAGCACCATCCTGGGTGCTTGCAAATAACCCTCTGCAGTGCTTTGAAGTGCCACTGATCGACTCTTTGCAAGTCTCTTCAAGGAATAGCTGGATATGGAGTTTCCCTTGGAGAACTCGCTAGTGCAGCCAATCCAGGATTTTCAACTGCTTTCTTGAAAAGTAAGAAATTTTAAAACTACTTTTTCAAGTTTTGAAAATTTCCACAGAGATTTTCAAGAAGCAGCTTGGAAGAAGCATACTTCAACCCCAAGAATGAGTTTAGTTAATGCATGAAAGTGTTACTCACATCTGGCATTTCTGTAAAGCAGAAAAGGGTCCTGCAACTGGAAATCCAGATCTTTAGTTATGGGTTCTGTCCGATTTTCCATACTCAGCCTATTCATAATAGTGAATCCATACTTCGGTGAAGCTGATCTGAAAAACGATCAGAAATAAAGCCCTCCACAGTCAATGAAAAATAACTGAATGAAATTATATTTTAAAACACTTTGTACTATAGGTATGGCTATATTTTTTACTAAAGTATTTGAAAGCCTAAGAAAAGACTTGGCTTTTGGGGGGGCAGCATTTTTATTTTTTTACCAACTTCAGTACAGGTCAGACACCTCTTCCTCTTAGAACGGCACCCTCTCACTGTTATAATCAATATCCTCCTCTACTACTTTAGAAATTTACATATCTTGTTTTAATTCACTGCTTCTGCAGTTTACCTGCAGTTACCTTATTATTATTTAAATACAAAAGATACAGTTTGTGAGGGCTAAGCAACAGTGCTCCTAACAAGAGCTCAGCTAGTTAAAAACTAATATATGAAAGAACCGTTTTTAAAAATATCTGAATCTCTTGTGCATACAAAGCACTGTGCCCAACCATACACTTTAACCATCAGAGGCCTGCTCCACTTTAACAGTGTTGTATTAGTTGGACTCTTTACATTGTAACTTCCTTTTTATGATGAGGCAAGAATGGGCACACTAAGGAAATTTGCTACACACAGGGCCTTCATTCCCATTTTTCACCTTTGCCTTTTTTAACCTTTTCAACACATGGTTATTAAAATGGGTACATGTAGAATGTTCCAATTTTGAACTGTGTTTGATACCAGTGAAAAGACACTGGCTTAATGGGTGGGAGACATTCCAAGTTTGGTAGTCCTCCAAGGATGTCCCTGTACCCTGAAGCCACTAGGAATGTGCATTACAGGAAGGGAGGTGACAGAAAATGAAACAAAGGGTGGAAGTGATAGAAAGCAGCAAACATGATGATAATCAGAGAATTATAAGATTCATTTGTTCAGTTCATTTTACTTTTATTCCTAACAGAAGGCTTACTTTCAACATTTTAAAAAACACACTTATTTCTCCCCTAACTTGCAGCACCAGCAGGTTATAAATAAAACTGTCTTTATAAAATGGTTTCCAGAAATAGATGCAGAAAAATACTCTCTTATCTCTGTTCCTCACTTTACTTTTTGACAGTCTGAAGTGGTTTTTAACAGTCTGAATTGTGGAATGTATGAATTTGAATTGGAAAATATTCGGTTCAAATCTCTGGAATCAACTTGCCAGGTATTACTCTGTAGGCAAGCCACTGTTTTCTTGGTCTCAACTGCCTTTAGGCTATACAAGAATAACAACACAATAAAGTCCGTTCGACTTCCAAAATGTTCAGAAACCAAAGCATGGCTTCTGATTGGCTGCAGGAAGCTCCTGCAGCCAATCGGAAGCTGTGGAAGCCCCATTGGCCGTTCGGCTTCCAAAAATAGTTCGCAAATCAGAACAGTCACTTCTGGGTTTGCGGCATTCAGGAGCCAAAACTTTCAAGAACTAAGCTGTTCAAAAACCAAGGTACGACTGTACTGACCTTCCTTACAGGGTTTTCAGCGCTTTACAATTTATTACTCCTATTAGTAGCAAGCTTGTGTTTCACATTGTTCTTATTTTTATTATTATTTAGTTCATTTTTTTTCAAAATATAAGAAATATATAAGAAGGTTCTAAATATTATTTGTAAGGAAAATCTAGTAAGTTTAAAAGAGGGTGCGGTATCATAAAACTTTGACATCGGAAATATTTGCCTGATACTTTGTTTAGTCTGCACAGAAACCTCCTCCTTACACCTTGTTATAAGTTTTTCACTGCCTTATTATCTTAGGAGAAAGGTATGGGGAGTCATTCTCTTCATCAAGGTTCATCAATTTGCAGTACTTAAAAAAATAATAATTCTACACTTATCATGTTAACATCAGACCAAGTATCTTTAATTTCCAATATATGTTTTCAACCTTCATAAGTGATGAAGAGTTTCATGCAATTCAAAAACTTGTACCTCTTGATCCAGTCAATGATATCACTTTTCTGTGCTTCTTTTTTGTAGTATGAGAATGGTGTGAATTTAAAACACTGATATTAAAATTAATAAACTTCCCACCTTGTGTAAACAAACAGTGTTCCTTCCACATCAGTCTTTTCCTAAAATCAATTAAAAATGCATCATTTTAAAGACAGAATAAAAGCCACCTAAGTGAATTAGTGCAAAGCATAAGCAGACAAACCGACAAAATTGGGGGCTGTTTCAAATGTTACAGGTGATGAAATGTGATTTTAAAGAATCAATTGAACACTGGCTTTCTGGTATGTACATGTCTTTTAAATCACTGTATACATTTTTCTAAGCACACATTTACAGTATTCCTCCCCCCCCCCTCTTTTAACATGTGCTCTGTATATATGCACTAGAAACATAACATATGAAACAAGCCTTTTCAATGAAGAATTAGGCCTAGATGCCAGCTCATTTGTTATAACACAGCTGCTTTCCCATTTTGGGGTAGAAAATGCCTCCTTTCCTAAACTAACAATCCTGTTTGCCAGGGTCATATTAGACACTTTATACAAATTGCCCTACTGTGGCTGAAGCAAGAGCAGACACTGAGTAGAAAATAAAGCAAGATTATCTCTGTATTTTTGGATAATGTGAAACTCCATTTTCATGCAATCTAGGCTCTAAACATATACTGTACCATGGCTACAGCAGGGCTGGCATCAGGAGTCTGCATGGCTAGTAAATTGCTGAGGGCTCACGCTTCCATAAGGTCTCACTGCCAACACGTAATATGCTACTGTCCAGTATACTGCCCAGGCATCATTCTGGCCAACCTCCTTTAAAAAAAGAAAACTCTGAACTTCCAGGACAACCAGAGCTGTGTTTGTGTGCCTTCACTAAACTAAGCAGCCAGTCCACAGAGCATGAAGAGACATCTGGCACCAGGCCCATGCAAAGCTTGTCTGAGGCCCAGGGAAGGAGCCTTTTTCATAAGATGTGCCACTGAAGTAGGGGCACCAAATCTGATCTGACACTATACACTAGTATGCAGTAACGCAGGTCCACAGGTATGGTTGCTTCACCCATGGCCATTTCACCCATTAAGTCCCCGGTCGGCTGGGAGGCACATTCTTGGCAAGACAGTGTATGTCCAGCAGGCCTCTGGTGGAGGCCCCAAGCCAGCGTAGCCCTCCAAAGCTCAGGACAAATGTACCCAGCTACCCCCTGCCCTCTGCACGGGCCTGTCTGGCACCACTGCAAGCTGCTTTTGTTGGGCATGCTGGCCAGGGAGCTGCACCTGGGTCTAGTCTTTGCTGTGCTAAACTGGGCGACCATAGCCAGGCAGTTTGAGGAGACAAAGGAGGCAGCTACTGCAGTCTTGCACACCCTTTGATGGGCACACTGGCCCAAGGAGCTGCTTGTCTCAGTCCAGTACCTACTAGCACCAAACCAAGCAGCCAGCCCAGGGGGAAAGCAGCATTGCACACTGCATTTTGAACATGCTGGCCCAAGTAGCTGTTTCTCTTAGATCTGGTCAAACTCAAACACTAATTAAAAAGCAGATAAACAATGCAATCTTGTCAATGTACTGTATACCCATTAATAAGCCCCACTTTACCAGGGTACAGTCCCAGCTAAGCACAAGCCTATACTCAGAAGTAGGCCACATTAACTTCAACGGGAATTAAACCCAAGTGAGTATAGGACACCAGGGCTGCAGCCTTAGTTTCTCCCCAAGCATCTCCAAGTTTACTGTCCTCTCCAGGTAAACTCATTATGAGGTTAGTCCTATAAATGCAAGCAAGCTCGGTATCGACCTGCTCTAGATGCACAGCTGTCAACTTTTCCCTTTTCTTGCGAGGAATCCTATTCGGAATAAGGGGGTTTCCCTTAAAAAAGGGGAAAAGTTGGCAGCTATGTCTAGATGTCATGGTTTACTCGTCCATCCTCCCCTTCCGCCCTGTTTGCCCGGGCTGCAGTCACCCATCAGCCGCTTAAAGCGCATGAGCGGAAGAACAAGTTAAAAAGCCAGGGAAAGTGTCTCCCACCAAGTTTCATCTGCGCAGACGCTTTAAGAACGATTTCGCCAGCCCAGCCGCCCCTGCACTACAGAATTTACGGCGCAAGGATGACGTTGGTTGATTTAAAGTGGCAGGTGCTTTATTCCATCTCTGCCCCATTTCACCACCACCACCACCACCCACCACCCCGCGATGACACTCGGTTCCTCACCCACTCATTGGCTCGGTGCCCGAAAGTGTAGAGCGCCACCTGGCTGGCCACGTCTACGATGCTGCAGATGTAGGGGTCGTGCCGCTGCAGTGCCGCCAGGCTGATGTCCAGCCCCTTGCCCAGTAAGGCGGCCCCGGCCACCGCCGCAGCCATCTTGCCTCCGTGAAAACAACACTTAGAGCGCGGGACAGACACGACTAGCCGAGAGCCGAGAAGAAGAGAGAGATGGAACGCGCCGGCCTGTTCCCTCAGCGCCACGACCGGGGAAAACCCAGTCTTGGTGATCGAGCACCGAGTCGGGAGCGCTAGATTGTTGCCACTGGCAACAGGTCATCTCAAAGACCCTCGGCCTGTGGTTTATCCCTTACGAGACCCACGTTAAAAATAAAGGGAAAACACGAAGAGCAAAGATGCTGCCTGCAAAAAGCTAAAATAAAACCCAAACTCAACAGCGGGTTTTTTTCTTTGTTTTTTTTACAATCTAGGAAGTTGTTTTCATACTTCTGTGTAAAACAAGAAATGAAACCACAAACCAACGATTGTGTTATTGTATCACACATTATCTGCCAGTCATTGCCAAATTAAAGCATTTAGCAAAATAAGGAGAAACGTAGTCACTATTGTTACTATTTTTATTCAAATAGTTTTAAAGATTACAAGGCAAATTCATAAAATGTTGAGGAATCCAGTTGCCACCTTTTTTCTAGAGGGACTTCCATGATGTTAGCAGGTCCATAACATGCACAAGTTCAAAGGGGAACATGCTTACTACTATGGGGGGAAAACCCTTGTCATAAGTCTACCTCTCATACAGTGGCTAAAACCACAGGAAACCTGACACACACCCTTCAGATTAAGATACCGTCAGTATTGGATAATGAGATTTGGGGGAAGGATATATACTGGTGCCATATTTTCAAACTTTCTTGCTATGACATGGCTTTAACAGTAATAATACAGAACATCCATAATCTAGAGTGAATATTTATTTTTAATAGCATTTTTAGATCTGAAAGAGTCAAAAGTTTTGAGAATTATGTAAATTCAAATCTCTTAATTGACTCACCCTTCCAGGAGTGCCATCTCACTGTATTGTGTAGGCCACACCTCTTCCACAAAACAATTATTTTTAATATTAAGCAGCATCAGCTTTAATAACAAAGGTGAGTTTTCTTTAATTGCCTAGCCACTACATCAAGGCTGTGGGAAGGGGATGGCTCTAGATTGATTTGAAATATCATTTTTTTAGCTTAAGAATTTGAAAGGATTTATTTGCCTGCTTTGGGGGAAAAGTGGGGCGAAAGAGATGAAATCTTTCAGGTGTTATGGGCCCAATGTGTTTAAAATTTATATTCTTCCTCGGGGCTCTTATCAGCAAGACTGTATTCTCTAGTGTGTTCTGTAACAAAACAAAGTGTGTCCCTTACGAAGCTATATACTTTACAATGTATTGGATCAATAAAATATTTATTCTTTATACCTTTGAGATTTTGTCACACACACCCCCCATTCTACTCTGTTATTGGTATCTTCCCTTATTTTTCTCATTTGCCTGCTTTTCCATTCATCCTGCTCATTGTGTGCTGAGCAGCAAACAGAGTAACTGGCAGAACAGTCAGATGACAGCTCAATCGATCATGTAGTTTATTTCAGTGGGTATTGTCTCAACTCTGATGCTGACATGTGACAAATTGGCACCATGATTTAATCCTGTGTTTCCATTTTGAATTCAAGACCCTTCCTTTTCCTCTCTTCTCTCATTACTTGAATTAAACATTTTATCAATAAGTTTCTGGCTAAATCAGATTTTTTTTAAAAAAAAATTCAAACAAAATGCATATATTAGTTTATCTTTTATGTAAATATGCAACAGTACCCTCTAGTGGCGTATACATTCAACCACTCTGACATAAAAAGAATTCTGTCTTATGCTTATGGCCCTAGCAGAATGAAACTTTCATACAGTTGTTAACCACACACTGCCTGCCACAGGTTAATTTAACCATTTGACAAAATTATGGCCGTACTGGGACAAAGGAATGATACACTATTGCAGTAATTTTGCAGTAATGTCTTGCAAGCCTGAACAGCTTGTGGCATGCCAAGCAATGAATGGTGGCTCATTTTTGTTGCCAGAAAATACGGTTGATAAACACTTTAAAAGCCACAACATGTGGCTTGATATGGTGGGTAGGATTCTTTTTGATGGGTCTGCATAACCTCTTTCCAGTTCATGTATGTTACCATAATAGAGGCAGTACTGATTAGTGTAAAATTCCTCTTTCTACAGAGGATTCCCACAAACTTACCTTTCTCAATCTTGAGGTCTGGTCTCAAGGAAATGAGGCTACAACTTTGCTGCTGCTAAACAGGTCTGCATCTCGTCTGTCCCTAGTTTGGAGTTCTCATGAGAAGCACACATATATGCCACTTTGGGTTCCATGGTCGCAAAAAGGCAGGGTATAAATGTAACAAAATAAATTTTAAAAATGTACTGTATTTTGAAGACAGAATCTAATTGTGCCACAACTGTGCATGACCTCGGGTTCCTGAGTGGTAAGATTTCCTCCAAAATCCTCCTAGTCTTCCCTTGTAAAAATGATATAATATATAAATATGAAGGCCACTATGCCCATTTCAAAAATAAAGCTGCATTACTCAAATGTGCTGAAAAGGAAATGAAAAAGAAATACCATCAGAGCTGTTTCTGATGGCAAAGGGAATATATGCAGGCAAAAAGGTAATTGTTGCAATCTGCTCCCAATGCTGAATTCATTATGTTTCTTGACAAATTAAATATGATATCCAAGCAGTAAGGACATGACTGTGACATTTCACTTGAAAAGTATATTTCTCCTCAACACGGTTGATATAGCTGTGGTAAGAAAAATATATTAAAATAATTGCTTTGAGTCATCTTAGAGTTGGCAGCCTTCAAACCAAATTTTGTCCCCTATCTGTCCTGTTCCCAGTTGTCAAAATAGGGGTGTGGATGAGCAGTATCTATGACAATGGAACTTGACAGCCGGCTATTTCAGGGATGAGACAGGGCAGAGTGGTCCTTCAGTAAAAACACCAGGGTTCTTGAGCTACAGCTCTCAAAATGTAGGGGAAGCTTTCCAAAAGTGGAGTAGGCATCTGCTAGGGAAGATGCAAATAGCTTGCTACCTCTACACATCTTTCTGTCTGAGCAGTTTTTTTAAAGTGAGATGGAGTATCATCTTTTTTATTTCCTGGTCAGCAGAACTGGAATGGTCCTATGGCCACAAGTCAATTGCTAGATGAACTAACAGTTATAGAAACAGGTAAAGCAAGCAACCATTTTTTAAAACAGAAACTTGGATTGTGTATGACCTCTCTTTTGGAAACTCAGATGCTTTCAATGTAGCCCCAATCCTTCCATCTATTGGACTGAGACCCTCAGTGTAGACTAAACCATAACATAAAAAGACTAAGAATCCATCTATTCTAGCATCCTGTTTCCACTAGCGGATAATACTAGATGCTTCTGGGAAGTCCACATCATCAGAACACAACAGCAGCTAGACAAACTGCCTTTTGTTTGGCCTTGCATCTCAGCTCCAAACACTTGTGTATTTCCCAGCAATGCAACCCAGACTTGTCTCACAATGTAACATTTGGTTTCAAATGTTGTCCTGCTGCAGGAGTTGATAAATTATCCATTCAAAGCACCTATGTGCTGGTGCAGCAAGTCTTCATTGAGGAGACACCAGCTACCATCATTGTCCCTGCTCTTTTGATTTAGGAAGGCTTGTGTTGTGACAGCATGTGAGAACTTCCATCCTACAGATACTTTAACTGATTCATTAATCAGTCAAAGCAGACAGTAAATCAACTAAAACAATCTTTAATCAATTGGCAGCCTTACTAAAAATATCAGTAGGCTATCTTTTTTTAGCCTGACTTCCTTTTCAAGTTGACAATGGACACTTTGTTACATCTCGATGAGTGTTGGAACTGTGATTCATAATTGTGTATTTGCTGTGAATACTGATATGGCATGTTGAAAATCCTGAGATTTTTTCACAGACAAAGAGTTTTAAGTTACTACCTTGTTAAGGGACCAGGCAAAAAAGATTGGACCACACCTGATCTATCTTAACAAAACAATAACCACAAACACACACAAACCAGCAACTGAAACCTCCACACACAACCACAATATAAGGCAACAGCAGGCATCCTCTCAATAAGTTAATGAAAATAATCCATAAAAACTGGGTGATCTGCTGTAAACTCCTTTTGAATTTTAATTGTGGGCCACTTGAATTTTGAAGGAGAGAGGAAAGTGTTGTAGAACACCCTGAGATTTACTTCACAAACTACTTTCTTGTGTTTTCTTTTAACCTGTAGACATAAATATTTTACATGTACACCTACAACATTCATGCACACACTGTAGAACCTCACTACCTGTACAAAAATGACAGGAGCTACAGAACTGGGAAATGGGAACCGGCATGGTGAACTATGAGAACTGCAGTTGGAAATTTGAGAAATAATATTCTGGACAGACCTCATTCATCCAACCTGGCTACTGGTCCATCCTGGGCAACAGCAAGGGCTATACAAGTATTCTTGTTTAGATTGTCCAATATTGGTATTCCTGGCTCTGGTATGTTTCTGTGTGCCCCTCAGCCCTGACTCTGGCTCACCTTTGGCTTCTTTTTTATGGCTCAGCCTTGTAACACCATGGCAAATACATGTTTGCTTTTGTATAGTGTGTGAAGTGGTACTGAGCACTATTCAGAGACAGATTTACATTATAAAGATGGAGGTTGTACAGTTCAAAACCATTTCAGACAGTAAAGGTAAAGGGACCCCTGACCATTAGGTCCAGTTGTGGCCGACTCTGGGCTTGCAGCACTCAGCTCGCTTTATTGGCCGAGGGAGCCGGTGCACAGCTTCCGGGTCATGTGGCCAGCATGACTAAGCTGCTTCTGGTGAACCAGAGCAGCACACGGAAATGCCGTTTACCTTCCCGCTGGAGTGGTACCTATTTATCTACTTGCACTTTGACATGCTTTCAAACTGCTAGGTTGGCAGGAGCAGGGATCAAGCAACGGGAGCTCACCCCATCGCGAAGATTCAAACCGCTGACCTTCTGATTGGCAAGCCCTAGGCTCTGTGGTTTAACCCACAGCCCCACCCGCGTCCCTATTTTAGACAGTAGGTGGATAGAATTTCTTATACTATTGGGAATCGTATCTCTGCAGGGT